ATAAATCAATAACATTTATCTCTTAACAATTATATCTTTGCTCAATATACAATTTCATACTTCTTTAAATCTATATCAACATAATTAATCCGTGTTTATTTCTTCCATAGTTTAGACGCACTTAAACTCCCTATTAGCAAATAATCTTAGTTAACTTAACGACGAACCGTTTAAGCTAACAACGTTAAGAATATGAGAATGTTCATGAAATTAAACGATTTCACAAAGGAATTTCATTAATAAAATTTTACAAGTTTATAGGGCAAAGCGCTAATCCCATTTTTGCAATTTCGACTGGTTTCGTCAGATTTCGATGGTTTTCAACAATAACGAATTCTGACTGAGAAGAGAGTTTTTACTATTCGTTTATGATAATAATAAGTCTAAGTTTGTTAGTCTAAGTTTGTTTACAGTACTTATTAAAATATATAATTAATTATTTGCTGAATATTTGAAAAAAAATAATTGATGCAAATAAAAATTTTAAAAACATTAATAGTCTGTTAATTAAAATTTTTCTTGTCTGCTACATCGTCCGTCCAAACGATTTTTTTGATGAAGAAGATTCGATGAACAATTTAGATTTATTTCCAGACTTGTGTTACTTAGAATGGCCCATAAAAAATTATTTATTATTTTTATTATTCCATTAAATTATTTGTTTTTATCCTAGTAGATAGCAGTTGTATAAAAATTTTTTTCCCTTTAATTTTGAAGCGCAGGATGCATTTATTATAATATTTTATTTGGCATCATATATTATATTTCTTTTAAAAGTTTTAAATAGTTTCAGTTTAAACTTAACTTTCTGTGATTTAAAATTTGTTTCTTTAGATTCTATTTAAAAATAAAGAATAGAATTTTGAAATGCTTAATAAAAATCATTTTTAATCTCAAAATTTCCAGCATTAAGGATCGGCAACATGTATGATGCACAGGGGAAGTATTAAATTAATAGGCTTTTATTAATGATTTCTCACATTTTTGACTCATATTTGTTTTTATAGGCACAGTAATCAGGTATTCTTGGCGCAAATTTTTCTTTAGTATTTAAATCAAAAAAATAAACTCCAGGAATTTTCATATTAGTGAAATTTGGAGTTTTCGTAGATAACAAATTCGCAGCAAACATTATACTTGAAATTCTCAAGTTAAAATTTTCCACCTAACGATTTCTTCATTTATTATGTTTCGTAATAGCAAACATCTATATGTATATTCATATACTACATGAGGCGTAGAAATTACGCTCTTTTATGTTATAACAGTAGTATTGGAAACTTTGAACTGAGGCCTACGAAAAATGGTAAGGAAATGTTTCGGGCGAAGTTAATTCCTTGTATACTTTCAGTTTCACATGCCCGGAACTGTCCGAAACTTAATCTGGAATGAATTTGTAGATCAAACTGGTTGGACGGAAATTTTTTTCGCAAATTAAGAATATAAATAGATTAGTCAATTTTTCTCTTTTTATTTTTACTATTAATGCGAATTTTACACTTTTTTCATTCTTATTATCATGTTAGGATATTAAAATTTTTCTTTTACAATATCTTCTTGTTTTTCGTTGCAGATAATAAAGTAGTACAAATGAGTGGAGCAAGAAAAAAACCGATCTGTCGTGTGACATAAATGTAGTGTCACTATTTTTCGAAAAAAAAATATTACCAAATAAAGGGTTATAATAATGCTGAATTTCGCGACAACACTTTTAAATAGTTAATACAAAGAAAATACTTTTATTAAAAATAAAAAACGTTTTGTATTAAATTTTAATCCAAAAAAAAATTTCGCGAAAAATTTTATTAATTTAAAAACAAAGTTGCCTGTAATTCTAGTAAGTTCAACTAAAAGTGAAAGAAGGGTTTGAGTTTTAAAGTTGATAAATTTATAGTCCCGAACTTCAAAAAAAAAATATAATAAAGTTACACAGTTTACTTATAGATTATGTAATTTATCTTAAAAATCACTTGAAAAATGATCGAAGATATGTAACTCCATTGCGTTCATGTGCTGCGTATGATAAGTCTGCCAAATACTCCACAGAATTACGATATATGGTTAGAGTTGGTAAATAAATAACCTTAAATTTTATATAATACATAAATTTAGCTAATATGCCTACGTATTAGAGTAGCAGAGGTGTTCAGCTTTTGAAAAAAGTATCTATAATTTCAAGGTAATTTTTCGGGCAAAATTCGAAAAATCTTGCCTTGTTGTGCTTTAAGTTTCGCCCTACTGATGTTCGGAACTATCCGGAACTTTATTTGTAGATCATACTGTAAATGGAATTGTTAATATTTTCACGGGTTAAAAATTATACAACATTTCATCATAATTCGCAAAATAAACCATTAGGAAAGTATTGTTATTTTTACTATTCATAACATTTGCTTCGGTTGGACACTGATTTCATCATTATTAACCACAGTAATTCATTTCAGAAAAATACAAAGTAATACGTTGCATATTGGTAGAAAAGATGAGATGCTGTTGTGAATCATGAAATGTAGTGTAACTATTTTCGATTGTCCAGATATAGGAATATAATAAATTCAGCAATTATTAAATTTTATTTTTAAAAAATGTCAACCTGTGTTTACTAGAAATTATGAATTACAGAAAATTGCATTTCTTCTTTGCATTAAGCCATTTGTTCTTTAGTGTTGAGCCATTTACTCCTGCAGAACGATATTCTCATACCTCTGCCCTTGTTGAAAATAAGCTTTATTTTTTGGGGGGAGACGGAGAATTTTATTCAAATGAAGTGTTCTATCTTGATTTATCTCAACAATTTTATGCAGAATATCCTTCATGGACCGATCTTACAGCAAACTCAGGAATGAGTATTAAAAGTAGTTGGGCAGCAGCTGCACTAACTATTAATGATAATAACCCGACTGTTTACCTAGTCGGAGGAATAATGTATAATCAAAATAATGAAGATTCATTTACTTCACTGGTATACGCATTCATTCCGAAATCAGGACAATGGAATAAACCTGTTATTAAAGGAACTGAGCCAGCACGACGTAGACAATTTCAAATTGCTGCTGATGATTTTGGAAATATTTATGTTTTTGGTGGAGGTGCTGATAAATACGTAGGATCACAAAATCTTCAAGTATTTAATGATATGGCAATATTAAATACTGCTGATTTAACATGGTCATATGGCCCTATTGTCAATGCTCCCTCACCACGAGGGGGTCATAGTGCGACTTTAATATCAAATGGTGTTATTGTATATATTGGAGGTTCTGAATTTGTTAATAATATTTTTCATGAAGTTGATTCTAACCAAATTTATCTTTATGATACAAAATTAGCTTCTTGGTCATTTGTGGTATGTAGTTTTATATTGTTATAAATTATTTTGTAAAATTTAAATAATGATTTTTTAATTTCATTAAGCAAGCAAAAAGTGATAGTTTAATTGAATCCCGTGTTTCCCATTCAGCTGTATTAGGTAAATTTTTTGTAAAGAATAAGTTTGTTTCTGAATTTTATTAGTTTATTATGACTCAATATACCGTTTATTTTAGCTCCTGATGGAAGAATTATCGTTTATGGTGGGGGAACAAACAACTATGTTAAGGTTACTCCAAACTTGGCAATATTAGATATCCATAAAACTCCATTTGTATGGTCTGTGCCAGAAGTATCATCGAATGTTGGTGAAGTTCCGTCACTTGTTTTTCATACGGCAAATTTATATGGAAATTATATGATTGTTGCTTTCGGTAAGTAATTGTTTGTCATAATTTTTATTTTTGTTATTTTCTTTGAAGTTCAAGTATATAATATTTTTTATAGGCAATATAACTCGACCAAATGTTAAATCATTCGGAACGAGTTCAAAAATTTATTTGTTAGACATTAGAAATTATACTTGGGTTAACAGGTTTGAACTTGACATTACACCCTCAAATAATTCAATACCGAAATCTCCTTTAACGCCGCCAACAATTGCAGATCAATCGGATCAATTAAATAAAATGAAGGTTATAATTGGTGTATTGAGTGGAATTTTCGGCACCGCAATTTTTATAACGGTTGGAATTTTTAGCTACAAGTGGTATCAAAAAATAAATCAACATGATAAAATCATGAGAATTCCTGGCAATGCTATATAATGAAGTTTTTTTATCATTATTATAGGTTATCAATTATTTACTGTATGTCACTATATGCAAGCGTTCAGAAACGCAGATTATTTTTTTTTCAGGAGAAGTCTTTTTGCATATTTAATAGTCGTATAATGTTTTAGATTGCCTAATTAATTATTAAGTACACTAGTTTATAAAATTTAATACTCTTTTATAATCAACTTAAAACTAACAATTAAGGAATAGAGAAAATAAGGACTTATAGCAACTTAAGTTAAAAATGATTCAAAAATAAAATTTCGCAAGACCAGACCATAAATATATAAAGTTTAATCCTGTTAGATATTATTAACATAGGGTAGATTCACGAATTCTGTTCTGTAAAAAATAATAACAATGAAATCTTAAAACTGATGATGTTATATGATTCCAGAATATGAAAAACGTGAAAGTTTTTCATGTATATAGTGTATATGTTGCTGTCTAAATCCTTTAAAATGTTGTACATATTTTAAAATTAGATTTTCTAATAATAATTCAAATTATCATAGTAAAAACAATATGTTGACACGCTTGTTATAAAAAACATTTAATTCCCTTAAATATAAAATTAAAAAATTTATTAATTCAGAAATCGCTAAAATATAAAAATTTGAAGAACAAAATGAAATACTCAAATTTTAAATGATACTTAAAAATTGCTATTGTATAAAAATTAAATGATAATTTTTTTTCTTAGTGTAGAAAATGAATTTCATATTAGTTTCACTTGAAATACTACATATTCCTTTATAGAAAAATAATTTGTAGATTCTCTGATTTCTTTTTCATAAGAACACATTATGCATTGACTCTTATTAAAAAATTTATCTCCATATCTCCATATATTTTTTAATGTCTGTTTTACCAAATGATAGACCATTATATACCCCCATTTTTATAGCATAGCATATTCATTATATCTCACTCGACTTAGAATACGATTTTCAAAGTGTTAAACGAGAATATAAAACTTTCTTTGGTATAACTATAAAATGTCTACACTCCAGGTTTCCATGAAATATGAATGTGCCCTCCAAGAAAATTGTTTTTGTCTTTTATTTTATAAATCGTTCAGTACGAGCTTGATTATCGCAGATTTTGTGAAAGCTTTCACATCTTTCACATGTAAATCCATCACGAGATCCACGAAGTAATAATTTAAATTCATATTCATATAGACTTTCAAATTCATCTTTATTATCTATACCATTAATCCATTTTGAGATTAATTCAGCATGTTATTCTGTAATAATGTTTTATTTTTTTTCGAGTTAATCCTTCTGATCTCTTTTTTCAATATTCTGAGGTTTTAATTCGTCACTTAGTCTATAATAATTATCTAAAAAGTGTTTAACCAAATCTAAATATAATTTATTTGGTAATGCTTTCTTGTATGGAAAATCTTTGATCAAAAATTCCTTGGAAGTTAAATTATAGAATCCAATAAATGGAATGCATTGTCGTATGGTATTCTTCAAAACATTGAAGTCATCTTTTGAATATTCAGAAGGATCTGAAGAAATTCCCGGATTTTGAGCGATTCCTCATTTAAGTACACATTACTCATTAAAAGTTTTTCATTTTGAATAATTGAAATCAAAATGTTTTCTGGAATTGAAACAAAATCAACGGACTTGAATATTTTTTTTTAGTTCCTTAGATATTAAATTGGTACAAAATTTTTGAAGTTGCAAGAAAGATTTATGTTTAAAACTTGTTTGATATATCAAATTAAAATTTTGTTCCATCCATGTTGCCTTATTTTCAATCAAAAATGATTGTAAGTTTATGACTAATTCTTGAAGACTTAATTCACTGGCAGCGACAAGGATATTTATAATATCTGAAGTATCATATCCTTCCAAAGAAAGTTTTGCTAAAATATAAAAAATATTTATTAAATATTTTTTGAAATAGTATTAATATTGTTAATATCTTTAATATTACTACTAATTATTTTTTCTTATCTTTCTGTTTATATGTCAATTATTATTATTAATATTTTTTTTATGCTGTAAATATACCTTAAATTAAAAAAAATATTTTTTGTAAATATCAATAAATAATTTATTAAAAAAAAAGATTTCAAAATACCTCAATATAGAGGTTGGAACCAATATTTAACCTTCGATTTTAAATCCGGATTCCTTCAATTTGAATTTATTTTCATCCGAATACGATTCCTTCATTTCATCCAAATTTAATAAATCCAGTTTATTCATTTCATCCGAATTTAATAAATCCAGTTTATTTGTTTCATTCAGATTTAATAAATCCGGTTTATTCGTTTCATCCAGATTTAATATATCCGATTTATTCGTTTCATCCAGATTTAATATATCCGATTTATTCGTTTCATCCAGATTTAATATATCTGATTTATTCATTTAATCTGGATTTATTAAATCCAGTTTATTCTGATCATCCGAAAAATTTATAAGGAAACATTTTTTTTTTAAAATGAATTTACTAA